AAAGAGGGTTGGCTGGATGAAGGTTTTGAGGTTCCCCCTCTCCCAGGAGAGGGGAGTGGACTGGGAAGGATGTGAACTTCAGGCTTAGTGCTGCTGCCGTCAGCAGTGGGGCAGGGGCGAGGTGGTGGGTAGACGATGGCACCGGGAGCTGTGTGCTCATCCTGCTCTTCCCTCCGGGGCCCCGTCTGAGTCACGGCTCGCCGCTCTGCTCTTTGAGGGATGCCACCAGCCTCTGAGGGTGTTGGGAGGCTCTGATGGCCCAACAACAAATTGTGTCCCTGTGACTCACAGGCTGAGTGGCTTCATGGATAGCACCCGCAAATGTTTGCAGTCAGTTACAGCCTTGGGGTTTGCACTGCGATCAGTAGGACTTACGGGATGGTGGGGCGTGTTGCTGTGATTTGGGTGTATGCTCGGTACTTCAGCACATGCAGGGGCCTCGTGCCAGGCAGCTTCATGCAATATCCAGCCCAGGAAAAGTGGTGAGGGCTGGAGGAGCTGGAATTGCGTTAGTAGTACCAAGATTTTGGGACCATTCAGCAAAACAGTGGCCACAACCCATCTGATCACCTTATGTGATTGCATACCAACATCCTAAATTGCCTTGCTTGGACTCACATCAGCCCAGGAGGAGGCAAGTGACAGTAAAAACAGTGGGTTTATTGGGGTAGGTGCTCTTATACTTCTTATCTAGACAGCAATGTTATCTAGACAGCATGTTGCTTCCCATAGCTACCATGCATCCCCAGTCAGCACTCCCACATTCACCCCACTGCTGTGCTGGGCTCCATTTGCACAAGTGTTTACTGGGACTCTCAGCTGGGATCATTCCTGCATATCCAGAGCAGTTCCTGGACAAAGCTGCCTTTTGCAAGGGTCAGGTTGGTTAATTGCCCAGGGCCAAGCTCCCAAATCCTGACCCTACTCCCAGGCAACCCAGAAACACAGACTGAGCAGATTTGGCGGGTCAGTCTATCTCCTTCCCAGCTCGCTGCCTCCATGGGACATGGCAGCCTGCAGTTGTCTGCAGGTACCTGCCTCCCCTCTGAGCACATGGCATGAAGCTGCTGATGCTACTCAAGTAGGTCACTGAGTTTTAGTCCTTCCTGTGTTCTCATTGAGCCTTTTGCCACTTCACCCCACTGGTAATTGCTCTCAAAAAGCCTGGGGGAGGGAGGAAATGAGACGAAAAGCCCTGCCAGAGCTGACTGGTACTGTCTGTGCTGCAAGGCAAGGCAGCAGTCATGAAATAGTGGCTGGAGCTGCTGCGTCTGGGGCTGCAGTCACACCAGGAGAGGACTCCAGGGAGATTAATTCTGCAATGTGGGGTTTTTTTCTTGTATTTCAGGTGTACCTGACTGCTGGGAAGACCTACCGGCTTGAGAAGACCCTGAAGGAACTTGAGGAAGGGGCTCAGCACAGTGGCACTACTGACTCGGAGCTGTCAGAGCTGGAGGACAAAGTCGCCTCCGCAGCCGCTCAGGTGCAACAGGCAGAGAGTGAGGTGAGGGCTTGGCTCTGAGAGCTGCTTTGCCCAGACCCCTGGCCAGTGATGGCAAACAAAGCTGGTGATGGATCCTTCGGCCTCCATCTGTATGGTTTTTTTCCTCCCTCTAAAGATATCAGACATCGAATCTCGAATTGCGGCTCTGTCCGCAGCAGGGCTGACAGTGAAGTCAGTGGAAAAGGCGAGGAAGAAGTCGAGCGCGCAGGTGAGCATGGAGGACGATGGGTATGAGAGGTCCGAGCCCCGAGATACGTGTGCACCCCCGGGTCATTGCTGCTGTCCCTGGGTGCTGAGAAGGACTGCCTGGCATGCTGAGCTGTGCCCAGCTCCCTCTCTGCTGCCTGGTACTCTGCCCTAAGGCTCTAAGAGTGAATGTCTTACTGAGGATGGGGGACAGTGTTGGTGTCTTACATGCATCAAGGGAGGATTTTGTATTTGGGGACTGGTGCTCTTCCTGGGGCTGCCAGAAGGGCATGCAGCGCTGCTACATACATCACAGTCTGGACTCAGCTCCTGTGTTCCCATACTGATTTGCACAATCACATCCCAACGGGCAGAGCTGCTACCATGGCAGTACACTGCCTCTTCTGCTCACCTTAGGATTAGTCCAGGTTAAACAAAAGAGGTGAAAATGCAAAGAAAGGCAGACCAAGTCGTCTGCCTCCTCTGCACCCCCAGAGAAACCTCTGTCCTTCCTCTGCCCGCAGGCTGCCTGCCTCCACTCTCCAGGTCCTGCCAGCAGCAGCCCAGGGGAGTCTTCAGATGACATTAAAGTGAGTATATGTTTAAACTGTGCTGGCTAGTGTACCTTTCTGGTGTGCATGTGGCACAGCATTAAGCCCGGGGACAACCAGGGTCTCCAGGGAGCTGCTTTTGAAGTGGTGGCCTCAGAGGGGACCTGTGTCCTCTCATCCCCTTCCCTACAGCAGGCTGCTCCCCTTCTCTTGCAGGTGATGCCCAAACTGCAGGGGTTCAGGAGGAAGTTCAACAGTCCCTTCGAAATCACCAGTAAGGACAGCGGCTCTGCCGGTGGGAGGTGGGGATATGTGGGTGGATGGGCTGGGCTTTGGGGGATGCTCGGTCCTGCCTCTCTCTGCATCCAGTTGTGTGTCTGCACTGGGGGTCCCCTTCCCTGTGCTCATGACCTCCTGTTAGGACAGCCTCAGTGGAAACCTCTTCTGTGGCGGATAACTTAGAAAGGAGGAGGCAGCTGGCAGGATTGGGGACAGTGATGGGAGAGCAGAGGTCAGGCTGAGTTGGCTCTGTCCTCCAAGAACCAGGACTTTCTCTGCAGCTTGGGCTCCTGCAGGATTGGGGACAGTGATGGGAGAGCAGAGGTCAGGCTGAGTTGGCTCTGTCCTCCAAGAACCAGGACTTTCTCTGCAGCTTGGGCTCCTGCCACCCCAGAGTCCAGGGACACATGTGCATTACTTCATTTGTGGCATCCTGTTGCCACAAAGCTTTGCCTAAGACCATCATCTCTTCTGATAGCAATTTCTTCCTTGCTTGATCATCTTGGGGAAGGTATCCTTGACCCTGTTGGCCACCTGCCTCAGCCACTGCTCTCTGGTGGCAGGCAAGAGGCCCTCCAGAGCCAAGCTATGACAAATCGACTCACAGCTTGTGAGTGCTTCAAATTAGACGTGACCTGAAACTTGGCACAGCATCTTGTGTGGTGGGGGGCAATCACTGGAAACATTTCATCCTGACCAGTATCAGCAAGACCCATTAGGAAATTACTTTTCTATTTCTCTCTTATCTTGCCTCATAAGCTGACAGGCAGAAAGAATGGCTCTCCTTCCAGATAATGGAAGATGAAGGAAGGGAAGGAGGGAAGAGATCATTTAATGCAGAGAAGGAATCGCATTTCCCCTGTGCGTGCAGACAATTAAGTCCCTTTTCCCAAGCTGAGGCTGGTAGGTGGAAAGGGCCCTTGTGCTGAGGAGGAATCATCTGCTCTCCTTCCTGTGAAGGGCAGGCAGATAAAGGCAGCCCAGGGGACATGTCAGCCCCGCAAGGAGATAGAGGCATGTGCAGTCAGGACAGATGTCACCAGGCAAGACTAATCCCCTCTGCTTGGGCTTGGTGACGGGGTGACTCGGTCTCCTGACCACTCTCCCCACATGTGGGGAAAGTTGGACTTGCAAAGTTGGACCTGCAAAGGTGCAGCTGGCGGAGGTTGGTTGGAGAGAAGGAGAGATGATTTAGTAGGTCGAGAGAGGGTTGAAGCCTTTGGGGGTGAGAGGTCCTCACAGCATAGGCTTTTGCTGTACCATGGAGGTTTCCAGAGCAGAGGTCTTGGCAGTTGACCACTGGCAGGCTGACCCAGCTCACTTGGCGCTCTGGAAAACATAAGTAGCAGCAGCTTTTGCCTGCCTGTTGTCAAAGGGCTTCCCACCACCCTCCTGGAGAGAGAAGTGCATCCATGCATCCAAAATCACAGTAAGCGGGGGATAGCAAAACCCAAATGGCTTGGTGGGTAACTGAAAATTCTAGCAAGGTGGATGAGGACCTGCTGCCCATCTCTCTTCTTTCATGACAGGTCTTGATGACTCCTTCGACCGCAACTCTATTTACCGTGGCTCCCTGACACAGAGAAACCCCAATGGAAAGAACAGGAGAGTGGAGCGGCTCTTTGCGGTATGAACCCAGCTACCTAAGAGGGTGACTGGCCTGGGCTCTGCATGGGACCTGACTCCCTGGGTGTGTGCAGAGAGACCTGTCCCTCCCCACGCTCCCATCAAGCCTGCAGAGCCCCAGGCTCTCAGCGTTGGTCTCACTATGCTGGCTGGTGAGGGCAGGCACATATGGGCATCACCCCCTAAGGTCCGGGATGTCATACGCCCCAGGGTGGGGGGATCAAACCAAATGTACTTTTTTGAATTTCCACTGCCTACGTGGCCCGTGGGATGGGGCAGTTCCTTGCTCTATGCAGTGGTAGCTGGAGGGGACAGGTAGCGTGCTGGCCCAATCACCTGAGGTGATTAGCCAGAGGTGACTCAGGATGGTGTGTGCACATCAGTGAGCTGAGGTTTTTCCCTCCCGGTGCCTTGCAGAAGCCTGTGATGACGCACATGTCCTGAGGAGAGAGGGACCCTCCTGCCACTGCATTTCACTGATGATACAAGACCTCAGCATGAAGCCTCGCTGCCTTCCCCCCAATGCTTGCGCTTCCTTCTTCTCATGCCCATCTCTCCCTGAAACCTGGGACAGGAGGGAAGCCAAAGGCCATGGGCAGGGGTCTTGTCAGGAGCTGCTGGGGAGTGGAGTGACGCACTGGGGTGTGGACACATGGCCAAGGCTCTCATGGGAGGATGAAGGCACGAGACCTCAGCTTTGGGCAGTTCTTTGGTACTGGGTCAACCAAGGGGACCAGAGGACTGTAGAGCTGGAGCAACTTCCTTGGAGGGAGCTGGACATCAGTGTGGCTTTCCAGCATGGGAACTGGGGGCAGTGGCACAGCCCTCACTTGGCAAAAGCTGGTCCCAGCCCTTGACAAAAGGCCAATGTCATCTGCCACAGTCATCTCATCACTGTTGGGGCCTGTCCCTGCTCTCTCCCAGGCTGGTGCTGAGCAAGGACAGGAGCTGGCAGCAGGCATGAGATGCCCGTGGGGTACCCCAGGCAGAGCGGAGACCCAGTCATTCCAGGCTGAGATTTGCATCCTGGTGCTGGTCCCAGCTCCCTGTGATGTCCCTTGGAGCATTGCTTCCCTTCCCTGAGCAGCAAAGCAGAGTGAGAGCAGCGCTGGCTCCCTCCCAGCAAACACTCGGCCAACAGATCTTTGCATGAAACTATGCAAACACCCGCTGAGGCTTCTTGCCACCATGCCTGAAGCAGCTGTGACCATCTGGGGACATGAGTGAGGTGAGGCCTGCAGGAAGCAGTGGCAAGAAAGGTGGAAGAAAGGCTGAAGGTCTTGTTGGGGACTGGTTTGTTTTTCCAGCTCTCGAATATGTCCCCTGTCCCTGTGAGGTTATACCAGCAAATTCAGAAGGACTCCAGCAAACAGAGCATATGTGCTTCTCTGGAGGCTTTCTCCACTGTGCAGAGGGGTCAGCCCATGTGTATGAGCATGTCCCCTGCCCCTGATGATGGGACTGCAGGATCTGGTAGGACCATCTGATCCTTTGGAGGGGTTGTGATGGCCTTTGGGCACTGCAGTGGCCCTGGGCTCCTGCCAGGTGACAGCAGCATTGGAAATGCCCTCCTCCAGAACCCCCAAATTGTTCATTTTCCTCCAGCATTTAATTCTCCACATCTGCAGATCCTGGTGGATCAGTGCCTGGCCCCATATCCATGGCCAGGATATGGGGACAGAGAGGGGGTTGCTTTCTCTTGCAGGAAACTTTGGAGGAGGTTCGTGGTAAAAAATTTTGCTTGGTACCCACTGGTCCTTGTCTTTTATAGCCCTCACCTCCCTCCCTCTGCAGCAGGTGGTGTGGGGAGGACTGCTCGCAGCCGAAGCAGGGAAAATCAGATCGATGCTGACAGTTTCCCATCAATGGCCACTGAGACGGGACCATTTTAGGCTATTCCTGTGCATCTGAACTAATTATGCGCAGTAGTGTGAATTCTCATGCAAGTAACATGTATGCTTGGCTTTGGTAGTAGTAGAGACTGCTAACTGCCTAGAAATTGGTCCTGCAGTCATCTCAGAGCAGTCTTGTAAGTCCATAGTCTGGGCTTCCCAGCTGGAAACAAAAGCAGTTTCTTATTTTAAAATTAAATCCTTCTGGCCTGAAGTTGAAAAGGGTAAGTGCAAACCACTGCCATTGTAGAAAGTCTCCCAGACACCGTGGCATTGCCGGGTGCACACCTTGCTGCTCAGCCAGCCTCGGTACTAGGCTGGCAGAAGGGAGCTCCACCAAGATCTGGGCAACACTATGGGTTTGCACCCACCCTTCTGGTGTCAGCACCTCTTGCTGTAACCGGTTTCAGCTGTAACTCAAGTCCTTCCACGCAACCCCTCAGATGCTTGACCCTGTGAAGAAGTCCTTGCGGCGAGCCTCAGCAGTGCAAATTAAGATGTTGTTCAGGCTGTAGTCACCCACGATGTTATTTGCTGGTTTCCTGCCCCATCTGCCTGTGTAGACAATATATACATGTACACTAAATCATGCAATAAAGCCATCTTTGTGTCCAGAACCTAGGACCCTTTTGACAGTGTCTGTTCTTTCAGCTCAATTGAGCAAAGGTTCCTTTCTTTCCCCATCCTCTCCTTGAACCAGCTGGGGCACCCCCTGCTTTAAAACTAGGCAGGTGAAAGCAGACAGGAGCCAAACCAAAGCAGAACGGGGAGAGATGGTGATGAATGGGATGGCAATACGACTTCTCAGATGCTGGTCACAGAGACACGGGTGGGATGAGTGTGGGTCAGTGGTACCCAGTGGTGAGGCCAGCCAGGCGAAAGGGATGCACAGTGTGGGGATAAGGAAGGGCTGACTCTGAAACATGCTGCTCCAACTTGCATGGAAAACCAGGAGCAAATTTGGGAGCCAAAGCCACCGAAACACAAGCTCACATTAAGAGGTTGCTTTAATTCTGTATTAAATAATAGCAATGACCTTGGCATTGAGAGAGCCCTGCTGAGCCCATGGTCTGGGTTTCCTTGCCTGATGGGGTGTTTTTTTCTCCTCTGTTTATCCCTTTCCCTGCCTTTGATGCCCCTCCACAGCCACCACTGCCTGTCCCATCCTGCTCCTGTGACAATCCCCCAACACTGGCTGTGCTCAGGCATGGGAGCCAACCGCAGCATGATATGGAGATCTGTCCCAGGCCAATGCCAGCCCCACAGGGGGTGGCAGACAGACTCTGCCCCTGCCCACACCCCACTAGTGACAGTGTCTTCACCATCCTGCCAACACAGAGATGTCCTTGTTTTGGAATGTCCCTCAAAGTCTCAGGAATTCCAGTTTTGCCTGGGGGTGGATGTGTGTTCAGACCCCAACCAGGACCAGCCCCCTGTGCTGAGGACCCGAGCTGGCTCCTCCAGTGTTGCATCTGGCAGAACAAACATCAGCAGAAACCTTTACCTGGGGGTGGTTTAACCCATTTAAAATGGAAGGTTTGAAGCTCTCACACTGCAGGGATGAACCCGCTCCTGCCAGCCCATGTGCCCCAGCAAGTCACTTTCCCCTTTTCTCTATTTAATTTTCTGGTTTCCTTAAAGCAGCTTTTTTGGGGGGAGTGGGGGTTGAAGGAGAAAGGGTGGTGGCACCCAGTGTAACTCTTGCGGTGGAGCAGGTTTGTGGCAGCAGGACCCCAGCATTCAGGGCAGCATCACCCACCAACCACTGCATTGCACTTTGGGCAAGAGGCTCCCCACAAGTGGGGAGATGGAGCGGAAAACTTCCCCTTGTCCAAAATAACAGCAGGTCGAGGACAGGGATTAACATGTTCCATGCTATCTGCCTCGGCCAGCAGAAGATAAAAAGCTGGTCCTTTCTGAGTCATGAAAATCCCTGTGCTGATTTGATGAGAGGGGATGGCAGGGAGGGGAGATGCCCCAGCTCGGTCCCCACAGGGCCTCGCCTCTGACATCAGCATGAAACCGGCCATAAAAACGGCAAGCAGAGGGGACTCCGGCTCAGACGCGGCTGCTCGGTTCAGCGGGACGGCAGCCAGGCACCTCGCCTTGCTGTGCTGTGGTAAGTGCAGCCCCGGCGGGGCTGAGTGCTGCTTTTCTCTCCCTCTCATGATGCTTTTGTTGCTGGATAATTTCCCGAGAACTGCTTTGCCTCTGTGTGTGTGTCCTTGTGTCTGTCCAGCCGGCTGGGGGGTTTGCATTAGGGGGTTGTAAAGAGTTGGTGGCCGTAGGAAACCTGAGCTCTCAGGACCCCAGACTGGCTCCTGCCCAGCACGCTGCAAACTTCTGCTTTGCAAAAGTCCCTGGAAATAAAGCTGCCACTGTGTTCCTGTCATGTCCTGTTTAACCTGGCTCTCCTGCTTCTGCCCCTTGCCCTGCTCCCTTGTTGATCAAGCCCATCTCTCAGCCCGCTCTGCATGGTCCCGCTCATTGCCTTGGTGCCATAAATCATGTTACAGGGTGGTCCCAGGTTATCATTTCAGCGGTCGGGTCCAGGGGTGTGTGCCAAGGGTGCAGATGTGGCCACGGTCCATCCGTTACCCTGCATCCAGCAGCAAAGCCCATATGTGCCTCCAGCCCCACGTTTTGGCATTGGCCCCTCTCCCCATCTCCCGGGCTGTGGGGTCCCACCACCGTGAGCACGCTGGGTGTCCTGGCCAGAAAGAGCAATGCCAGTGGCCTAAGGCACTAGGCTAGGACTAAAACCTATTTTAATTAACATGAAGTTTGTACAACTCATGTTTGCAGGGGCTATTTTCCCCAGAGGTATCAGCCCCAGCAAAACCCCCAGGTGCTGATCACGCTGCCCGGTGCTCTTTCCATCACAGCCAGCCTGGGCATGCTGTGATGGGGAGGGCAGTCCCATCCCCTCCATTGCCGCCTTCCCCTTCTGATGGGGGTGGCTCACTCTGCAAACGCTTAACCGCGCAAACCCAAGCAGGGTGTTTCTGAGACAATATGCCTGAAACGCCTTTGCTCCTGCAGCCACTTTGGAGGCTGCCGTCTTCGTGGCACCAGCGGGAAGCACCAAGGGCCGGGAAGCTTTGGGGCCAAGCCGCTGCAGCAGAACATCGGGGATGAAGCTGGGGACCGCCTCCCTCCTGTGCCTGCTGCTCACCTGCCTGACCCTGCCCATCACCCACGGCCACATCCGCGAGCACTCCATGGAAATCAGGAGTAAGGAGAGCAGGAGTAAGGGACTCCCCCAGCCAACACCCCCCCAGACCCTTCTGCATCCCCAGACTCAGCTGCATGGGGGGGGAGGGAGGGGGTCACTATGTAGAAGCAAAGGTTTGCTTGGAAACAGCCTTTCCAACAGCTTTTATACCTCCCTGGCCCCTCTTCCGACTCCCCTGTGGTTCACCATCACCCCAACCCATGGGTGCAATGCCCTGTCACCCCTCCATGTCCCTCCCAACACTCCCTGACAGTTCCTTGGCTTTTGCCTTGCAGACCCGGATATCGACCCCTCCTGGTACACGGGGCGTGGGATCA